CCCTAAGTGTCTAATGAAAATAGTGTGAGTGGGCTCAGTCATCCGTGGCGAGACTGTCCCATCCCGCCCCTGGCATGCATGTGCCCACTCCCAGGTCCCTATGTGTAAATGTTATGTGGTTATGAATAAATGTCTATGATCATCAAACCTCTTCTAACCTGTTTTTTTTCTCCCTTCAAGTTCTTTGTTTTCCACCACAAGTACACAAGTATTGTATTTTACTTGCTGTGTGTTTTGAAAACACTACCAGCGATTTTATTTAGCAAGAGTTGCGCAGAATGTTTTTAAGTGTGTTTACACTCACACATAATGTCCATGTTTGTGTTCTCCGGCACGCAGCAGTGCTCGTCGTGTTGCTGAAGGTTACGTCGGACACAGACAAATATTTGGGTGTGTTCGATGATGTGAAGTGTTTGTTTGAGATCGAGCTCAGTTTTGTTTCCCTGAAAATGTTGAATGTGAAAGAGACTATTGTTTTTCTTCTGTCAACACTGACTTTTCTATAATGATCCAAATGACAGCAGAGACTATGACCTTATTGAGAACATGAGATGTGAGACACGATGACACTTAAAGCTTTGTTTTAAGTAACTACAACAAAGGTAGTTCTTACAGATTCTTGAAGCATTCTAATCTCTAATAATGTTTTTGCCAGCAGGTTTTCTCAGTAAACTTTACTTTTTTCTCCACAAATTTTCTCACAAAAAAACAGTACTGTAGCTAAATCGGCATCTACCTTATTAACCTGTTCTGACAAAAAAAATATCTTCTCTCGTGTCCTTTTTTCCTCCCAGATGCCACCTCAGTAGCAGAGACTCGGCTCAACAACCCGAGTCTCGGAGACGGAGCGAGTGTCGGTGGTTTGACGGGTCTTAGTCTCAGCGTCAGCGGGACCCACATGGAGCGCTGCGGCGTGGGCTCCAACCAGCGGGACAACATGAGCGACAACGCCAGCACCACGGCCCTCGCTGGGACCAGCATCACCGGCAGCCTGTTCGGAAGCTGCTACCACCGGTAATTCAACARATCTGAGTGAATCCTGAGGACACGGTAGTGTTTAGTGCAAAATAGTGGACTGAATTTCTACTGTTTTGCAGGATGGAAGTGCAGGCTGATGTCCAGAAGGAACGCTGCAGTTTGAGTGGCGAGTCGGCTACTGTCAGTCTGGGGACGATCAGTGACAACGCCAGCACGAAAGCCATGGCAGGATCCATCCTCAATGCTTACATGACGTTGGACAGGTCAGTCAGACCAGGGGTTCTTAACCTTTTTGACCTCAGGGCCCAGTTTATTGAACATAAATTGGCACGAGGCCCAGTCAGACATTACCAATGTACAGATCAAAATGATAATTATTCTAAATCTTGGTTTAATTTTTATTGTATTTACATTATAACTAAATTAAATACACTTACATTTTAAAAGTAAAACTCCTGTCAAATAACCACAAGATGTGATTATGACATTTTTTATATTGTAACCGCCCATAACAATTATTTGAACAAACGGTCAGTCAACAGACCACTCAGGCTTATCAACACAAAAATATATATATTTAATATAAACAATAACAAAAATAGACAATTCAAAAAATAAAATTGTGGGCATAAAATAAATAAATTAAAAATGTTTAAATGTTTCAAATACAAAAAAACTAAAAATAAATTTGATAAAGTACAAATAAAAATATAGCCTTTTTAAACTTTTGCATGGTAGAAACAGAGGTTGCTCTTCATATTGGTGACAAGCAATAACAGTAACAACAGCTTTTTGGCAAGTTTAAAGTTTCTTTAAAATACATTCAAAATATTAAACAATAAACTACAAAAAATAATTTGAAGTGCAAATTAACATATAGCAGTATCTGCAACTGTATTTGATAATGTTTTGAACTTTTAAAATACTGCCTGATAGAACTAGAAGCTGTACTTCATATTAGTGACAAACTTTGGTCTTTTTTGACGGATTACCTTCATTTTTGATTCTACTTTTCATTTAAAATAAGTTTCCATTTTTGGCAGGTTGCTAAGGTTCTTCTTCAACATATTAAAAAAGTTGTTTAAACATCTGAGTGGCGCACTACCGCTACTAGTGGTGAGAAACTGTATTGCACCTTATTCAAAATCAATGTGGTCCCACGGCCCTCTGCGGCCCAAAGTTAAAAACTGTTGTTCTTTTGAGGCCCTCAAGATGGCGCTGTGGGCCGCGGCCCATAGGTTAAGAATCTCTGAGTCAGACCACACAGCTGCAGATAAACCTGGTGCCTGAGGCCTGTTTTAGCTGGAACAAGCTGCACGCTTTTGTGTATTTTGGTGCATAATAATAACACAAGCTGGCTGAAAACGATATTCAAACCATGCATAAAAACATATTTCTGGTTCTTGAAATCATAAAAATGCCTGGATGTAAGTGGTTTTTTTAAAGGGTTTAAAATGTTTCATTTAAAAGTATACTTTTCACCCCATCATGACTTCTGTACAGTCTGTAATGCTGATATTGACATCAGTATTTTATGAATACTGTAAAGTGATCTTGAAAATTAAAACTTGAAAATAACTTTGGCAAATGTCTCAGAGCCCTCTGCTTATCAGTGACACGATTTAATGTTTATTGTAAGTTAAATTAAACATTGTTTTGCAGAGACAACAGCCTGGAGGGGCCGGGAGACTTGGAGTCCAAACAGGAAAAAGCGAGACACGACAGCGCCAGCAGCAGCCTGGATGAAGCCAGCTGCAGCAGCACCTCCGGCGCCAAAGGAGCCAGTGGTGGTGCGTGTCTCTGCTCCTGTCCCTCCAGCTGCTGCTGTGGTCAGAACAGCAGCCACTATTCCCCTACATCCAAAAACCACTCAACCACTGCAGGCAAGAAGTGCAAAAGTAAGCTGCTGAAACGAGCAAGCAGCAGCGGCAAAGAAGAAGGAAAACTTGCTGAAGCTCAAGGAGATGTTGACGCTCAGCTTCTGGAGCGGCGCAGCACCAACTCCTCTGAGCTGGATTCTCCCTCCCTGAGCGGCAGCCTCCCCTCCGTGGCCGACTCCCACTGTAGCCACCTCTCATCAGAGCTCAGCTGCTCAGACCCCGAGACCTCCAAACCCACTCAGCTGCCTTGCTCCCCCCAGATGGAGCCCCTCGCCCACAATCCCACCGTCACGCCCTTACCCGAGGTGGAGCACGACCGCCTCGAGCAGCTGCCGCCTCAGTTCGGCCACGCCGCTTACAGCCACCGCCCGCTGTCTTCATCCCCGCCTGCTTCACCCAGAGAGAAGAGCAGCGGGACGGTTCTGCACATTAGCGAAGAGAGCGCCGACGCAGAGCCAGAGAAGCTGCAGGAGGCCGTCAGAGACTCTGCTGCACAGCCTGAGAGCCCAACCAGGAAGAGATGCATCCAGACAGACATCTGAATGAGCGCTGTGTCCGTGTTGCCACTGTGAGCTCATCTATGAAGCTGAACGTCGGGGACAAACTGAGCTGTTCTAGTGTAAATGTTAGTTTTTAAAATAACAAAGGTGGAAGTTGGAAAGAGATTTGTGAACGTGCAGGAACACGGGAAAGTTAAAGGCGATCATTCRGACCTCTGAGTTTTGTGATGGAGAGGAAGTTAGATGTTGATTGGCGCAGCGAGCCTGTTGCAAGTAGAGACGAAGGTATGAGTGGAGAGCGATGAGCGCAGTCAGTTTTCTACACCTGAATGATTTTTTTAAAAATCCCAGCGTTCTTCTGATGCTAACGAAGAGCAGGCCTAGTAAAGCTGTAATGGAACAAAGCTGCTATGAGACTATTTAATAATCTGCAAAGATTGGTTTTCCTTAKTTTTTTTTCCATATGAATCAAATATGGTCCACCGCCGTGCCGCCACTTCCTGTTATAATTTCTAAAGGTAGCAGTCTGATATATCAGTGGGACCATTTGATGTAGCWGATTTTATTTCCCAGTCAGGTTTAAATAGTATGTAGTTGCTTTTTTGTTATGATTCATGTCTTTTTTTGTTTGTAAATGTATGTTTTGGGAGCGTTGGTTTAAGAGTCAAAGCCCTGTTTTGGGTCCAAGCTTTTTTTTTGTAATTAGACAGGAACTGTACTGAGAAATGATGAATATATATCTCATCATGCAGCAACAAGCTCCTGTCTGCGCAGATTCCTTTCCACAAATCAATCTGTGTTGATTGATTAGTTTCCACTGCAGTTTTAGAACATGAAAGGTGAACCTAAAGGGGGTTTCCCCCCTAAAACATAAATATATGAAACTAGAATTTCTCACAACCCACTGGGCTCGTTTAAATGAGAAGTCTCCAGAATCTGAAATTCAACCAAAYTGCGTGTTTGCAATAATAAAATAAGCTTTTTAAATAACCGTTTCTTGTGAGGAAACATGTCAGCTTTATATGAAAATATTTTCTTTTTGTGCAATGAGAACCTCTTTTTATATCCAAGAACGTTCATCCTGCTCAATGCTCAGCCGTGAATGTACAGTTCTGGTGTAAAATTGTTGATTTTTGCTACCAAATGAAGCTTTTTGTTTTGAAACTTTAGGTCTATTTTAACTTTTTTTTAAATCTTAAATCTTTTCAAATGATTGATGCAAGTTATTTTACATTTGTTGAACCTACAGTGCCTTCATGGGGGAACTTTCTGTCTATAGTGCATTTTTTAATTTTATTCTTTGAGTATTTCATATAAAGTGTTGAGATATTTAAAAAGTGTTTTGCTCAAATCCCACAAATGAACAAAAACTTGACCATAATTACACATCATTTGGTTTGGCCTACCAAAGACTGCTTTTTTTTTTTTTTTTTTTACTCTTACTGTCCATAAAGACACAAACATTTGATTAAACCAAAAATGTTTTAGTTTTCCCTTAAAGTAACTAAATTTTGTTTATGTGGGGAATAATCACAAGTTAAATTTTTTTTCCAAAGCAGTTTGAGTCAGGAGAATCAGACTGCGGTGACACTAAAGTTGCATCTTTTGTGGTGTGATGTCAACCAGATGATTATCACAGCAACAAGTTTTCTGCAGCTCCAAAGTCTCCAGTTTTAGATGATCTCACCTTGAGATYATCTGTTGAAACTGTTTATTTCCATTGTGTTATTTAAAACCCAGTGCCAAGTCTGTTTTTGTTTCTTTAATTATCAAAAAAGGAGTGTGGTGTTTGAAAAATATCTTAATTTCCTAATTCTCTGCTTCAGAATGTGCATGTAAATGCATATTYTTCAAATAAAATTCTCACTCAAGTCTTGTGTCTTTGTACTTTGGGATTAAGTTTTTGGGGGGTTGTTTATTTGCCGGAAGAGGAGACTTAAGAATTTGACTTGTTGCTTRTGAGTTTTGTCAATTTAATCTTTTTACAGATAATGATGTGCAGCTCAGTGCCAAATAGTCATGCCTGCTTCTGGGTTGCTGAACTAAAGTCCAAACAGGGACTAAATTCAAAATGTTTAAATGTCATATAACATTCTTATAGAAATACAAATCAAATTATCTTTTCCAATATACTTTGAGTTTAGAGCATACAGTATCTAACAGATGAAGAAAAAGGTTTAATTTAGAAAAATCATTAGCATTTAATTCTTAGGCCTTTCTCTTCATTCCCAATCTCAGAGGTACATTTGATCACGTTATAATCAAATTATTCAACTTTAAAATCATTAGGGAATGCAGAATTCAAGCTGACAGCACTAAATCTAATGACAATAAATATTTATACTTTTGTTTCAGCCATGCAGGTGGATAGGACCACATGTATGKTGCCTGATTTTACACAAAAAAGTCAAATCATCTACTAAACTTCATTGTTTAGGATTTTGGTCACTGCTGCTGATTTTACAACTTCATTACGTTTAAAAAAATATTAGAAACTTCATAGCTACTATGGTTTCCATTTAGAAAGTAGTATTATATATTAATTTTTTAATAAACTATGTTTATCTTACATAGTGATGGAAAAAAATGAAAACCACTCATGAAAGCATTCACTGTAGTTTATTTACACTTATACTCAGTCTATTTACATACAGTACATGCTTTTACATTCCAAGTAGCAATACAAACATCGCTTGAAAGAATAAAGCTTTACACTCTTTCTGGTTTAAAGAAGTTATCTATTTTGACAAAAAAAAGATGAAGGTTGTGGCACATTGTGCTATCCAAAGATTCACATTTCCTTTCTGGTTGAGGGATGAAGAGAGATTTTGTTTGCCTTCATTTAAATTATTCTTATCTGTCATCATTTTATCAAAAGATGGCATATTCCAATATTCGAACACAGTAAAGAACTGAAAACTGTTTTCTAACAAAATAACGTGTAGTTTCACCGTGTGAGTCTGGTCAAAATACAGTCATCCAGCAGAGAGAACCACCAGGTGTTTGTTGGATAAAATAGTCTTAAAGATGAAGGATTTTATTTTTTATTAGACTCACTCTCGTGACATTTAGTTAAATGAGAAATTACTCTTTTTATAGAGGTGGGTGTAAGATTAAATCGTTACATTTTTAGCCTTCAGAGGTAGAAACACATCATCATCAATCCTTACAGTGATGCTCTATAAACTTTGATTTATTTTTAGTAGTCCATATTAAAATACACTCTAAAAACAAACAATTAGCAAGTTTGTCATAAGATAAAGTTTCTACAATTGTGGTGTCACTGAATGTGTTTAATTAACTATATATGGAGTAAATTCAAATAAAACAAGCTAGATTTGTTTTTAAAAAATTTATATTTACCAAGGCAAATTTGAATCTTTTTCCAACTGGAAAAAAAAAGGTCCAGATATGATGATATAATACAAAATAGCTAAGGCAGAACTGCATCACTATAATTAAATTCACAACGTTATATAAATGTTTCCCATATTTTTATTGTTTTAATTTTGGAGTACATAAAGGCGTTTGTCAGACACATTTTTCCATCTGCAGCCTTTTTTTTTTCCTGATAACTCAAACTGTGGGTTTAATATGAATATATTCCAGTTTTTTTTAATTAGTGTGTTAATAAAATAAGTTTAAACACTTTTAAATAGCTCCTAAAACATTAAAAGCCACATTTCTCTGTGGTTCTACTGGAGCACATTTCACTGTGACTATATCAACCGTCAGGCTCACAAGGTGAAAATACAAACCACAGTATAATTGACTTAATTCTAAATTTGTGTGGATTTTGTTCAAACATATKACAAGAAATAAGATGAGCAATAAAGAAGATGGGAGCAGATCAAAAAGCATTAAGAAGTTAAACACTACATATGACCAGAGAACCACAATCATCTTATTGACGAACAAAGTAACCCAAACGTCAGCAGGAGGAAAGTGTTGAGCTGAGCAGAACCAGTGTTTAGAACCTGCTGCGATTTCTGCTCGTACAACCTTGAAAAGGTGCTTAAATGTTCAATTTAGTAGCAGCTTTTGTTTGTGTAAAAGGGCCTTTTACAGAATTAKCTTGGATGTTTGTTTTTTTAGTAGATTACTTCAAATTAAGATSCGTATCTCTGTGCAGCTCGTCCTAAACGTGGTAGAAATCTGAATAAGGCACACATTATTTCATCCTTCCTTTATGAACTCATGACAGCAGCTTGTATTAATATTACATCCTAACAGGAAGGAAAAAAATAATAAAATAAAAAACGGTGCGAGCAGCTCACGTGTACCTTGACATTATCCTTTTTTTTTTTTCCACAATAAAGCGTCCCGTTATGTAAGGTTGAGCAGCTGTGGAGCTGCTGTGCACAGATGGTGCGGAGCTGAAAAGCTGCTCGTCTCAGGAGTCGGTCGTTTCTGTTTTTGTGTCGTCGCAGAGGAGAACAGAAAGAAACATGCAAAAGTTTAATGGAACTTTCTGTTACGGTGAATAGCTCGGGGAGGAAATGGATTTCTGGAAGGCATGAACCTAAAAAAAAGACATCTGTCATATTTTAAGCATCGTTATGTAGTGATTCTATTTTTTGTAGTTTCTAATAAATACAAACATGATTCAAGGATATGTTTTTAAGAATGCACTTAAACCCTGGCCAAACTATGATCAGTCCACCTCCATGCCTAACAGTTATAGGAACTATTTTTTTTCCCTCAAATGCACAAGGTTTCATGTTAATTTGCACATTTCTAATCTTGCACCTAATGAAGATCCAGGAAAGGGTTTCCTTTTACATTTCCACCGTGTATCCACATACATCCAGGTGATTATTTTTATTAGTCTTCATCTCATTTTCACCTTTTTTTTTATTATTCTCTCTTTAAAAGCTCGATGATATTTAAAGTGCAGCTATCTCTGAGGAGACTTAAGAGGAGATGTTTTTAAAAAGGTTCTTAACTGCTTGTCCTCCACGTCTTTCACTATTCACAGAAACAGAAAGATCTACCAGAAGATATTAAMCTTTAGCATGCCACTGTGCCTGTGCACCCCAGAACTTCATCACGCCTGGAAGAATGGATGAAAAGTCAGCTTCTTCTATGGTTCSTTTCAAATTTCCACTTCCCATGAAGAGGTTTGAGCTCTTACCCTTGGCGTGAGCGCAGAGTTGTCCAGCAGGCTTTGCCTCAGCAAACCCGTCACCACCTCCAGCTCCTGCTCAGCCTCCCGAACCTTCGGGTCCAGCTGGAGGACCTCCTGGAGGTCACTGCTGGCTGATAGGTAATCCTGACATGTAGACACACACACACATAGACCCAACATCAATGAACAGACACACCAGTGAGTCCGATCCAAAAAGGTGACGGGGCACGTGTCGGGCACCTTTAAACCTTTAAAAGCCAGGGCTCGTCTGTAGAAGGCTTTTTTATTGGATGGATCCAGCTGCAGAGCAGAGTCACAGTCCTGTTTGGCCTCGTCAAAACGATCCAGCTTCAGGAGACAAATGGCTCTGATGTGCGGTGAGGATTGGGGCAGTTTGAGCAGAAATAAATGTCATTAAAGATGTCCTGATGCATCTCAGTAATCCAGGTAAAAATCAAAAAGAAAAAATTGTATAGGTCTTCTGGACGGGTTCTTCTYTAATGAAACGTTTCGTCTCTCYTCCAAGAGACTTCTTCARTCTGAGAGTTTCAGGCAAAATTCAGGCTTTTAAGCCCTGCCTCCATGTGACTGATACTCACATCACATGGCTATCGTTGGCACCTAATTAACACCTATTGTTAACAGGGGGTGGAGTGATACTGGCAATAGCCGCACTGTAGGAGGGGGACAACTGAAAACGGAGGCCTCCACCTCTGTTTAATGATGGACGGTCTTTCTTCACAAAAATGGCTTCTTTTACTCCTCTCTCAAACCAACGTTCCTCTCTATCAAGAATGAGAACATCCTCATCTCTGAAAGAGTGACCGCTGGCCTGTAAATGAGTGAAAACTGCAGAGTTCTGGCCATTAGATGTAGCTCGTCTGTGTTGGGACATTCTTTTGAACAGTGGCTGCTTTGTTTCCCCAATGTATAACTGGTCGCAGTCCTCCTGGCACTTAACAGCATATACAACATTGCTCTGTTTGTGCCGGGGCACCGGATCTTTGGGGTGCTTAAAAGCCTGAATTTTGCCTGAAACTCTCWGACTGAAGAAGTCTCTTGGAGGAGAGACGAAACGTTTCATTAGAGAAGAACCCGTCCAGAAGACCTATACAAGTTTTTCTTTTTGTCATTAAAGATGTTTATTTCTTTCTGAATCAGCTGCCGTGTCCATAAAACAGACAAACAGTGACTCGTCAATTTATAGATTTTTGCTTTGCATACATGCAGTTTTGATCAGATATGTGTGTTTAAAAATACAAAAAGCACCAGAATATCTGTTAGCTTAACATTAAGGCTACATTTAAATATCAGCTTCACAAGAAATCAGAAAAGAAAACTTTGTTGAGGACTAGTTAGAGAACTTAGTTCCTGTGTGAAATTGACTGGATTTGACCTGCTGTGGAATTATCTGGTGCCCTCTACTGTTCCTTCAACATGGTTTCCTACGTGAGATGATGTGAAAAGTTCAGTTCTGTCCCATTTCTGAGGCAGAGCTTATAGTTTTCATCCAAAAAAAGCACCTTTAACTCAGGTGTTACAGCTCGTACCTGTTTGTGTAAACGGAACATTCATCGGGTTTTATCCTCAGACATTCGCTGTATTTCTCCTCAGCTTCCTGGAAAAGGCCTTTCCTGACCAGACTATTGCCTTCCTGTTTGAGTAAAGTAAAGTGKGCCTCTTTTTTTCTGGCTGTTGATGGAAAGAAGAAAAAGAAGCAAATTAGCACAACTTCAGAGCTTAAAATCAATAAAATAAGATATAATTCTTTACAAAATACAATGTGGTGTGATCCAATGCAACGCAGCATGACACATCATGTGCAGCTACTTTTCAGAAAAGACTGGAGTCCCTCACTGTGTTTCTCTCAGTGCTGAACTGCAGTTAATGGACTTTAAAGAACGCTCTGCCATCTGTTTAACAGACTGCTCATCGATAAATGAAGTCGAGCAGACGACTCCGCTCTGAGTTAGCCGTCTGCTGTGCTGAGAAGGCGACCCCCTCTAATGATTTGTAAAAACACACACATGCTGAGGCACCAGAAACACATCCTGACGTTTATTAAATCATTCAATGAATAATGCATAAGACTTCTTTAGAGGGAAACACAGCTAATCACAGTTTATGTGAGGTAATTCCTGAAAGTCTAACTCTATGAATGCTTTTCATGAGGTCTTCTGCTGTTTATATAATAGGTGTTTAACGCTGCCTTATACGATTATACTTATTCTATATATTAAGTAATTCCCACACCCAGTGACTGTTAATAAACATCTTTATTAGTTTATCATTCTGGACTGACTTGGTTTAATATCTGCTATTAATTTGTGTCATTTCATTTTATTCTTTGGCTTTTCTTTAGTAGCATAATATGTAGCAAATTTAATAGAAAAAATAATTTTAATAATGATGAATTTAATAATGATTTTAATAAATGTGCAATAAGCTAATAAGCAGAGCACAAAAGCAAATTATTTGACTTACGTGAGATAAAACCCCCTGTTTGGAAGGGTCACTTTATAAATATAGATAAGCCAATTTGTTTGTTTAGTCTCAAATATTTAAACATATTTTTGTTCAGGCACCGTGTGGGGTCCTCTGGACTCTTCAGGCAGTCTGAACCAGGAGGAAAGCTGAGCAGGATTGTTCCATTACAGCAGCACTACTGCCTGAGGATCAGCTTCCCGCTGCATTATTGATACCACACATACACGTTTGTATTTCTATCCTTATTAGGACCATTCATCGACTTCCTTTCATTTCCAGTCCTTTCTATAGCCTAACCTAAAAATGGAGTTTCCAACATATTAGGGCCGGTCTTTGGTTCCCATAAAGACTACAGGTGTTGACATGGTAGATGTGTATACCAGAAACGGTCCTAAAAAGGTAACAGATACGAGTACACACACACAGTGAGCTGGAGTGTGTTCAGCTCAGCATTTAAGCACCATCTCTCTGGAATGCCACCCTCTAATAACTCCGCTGTCTTTTTTTCCCCCAGTAACGACGTCGCTCACCTTCCTCGTGCGCAGCCCTGGCGGCCCGCGCCTGTGCCAGCTCGGCGCTGACGGGTTTCTCCCTGTGCYGCTGCTGCACCGACAGCGGGACGACGGGAATCTCCGGAAGCTTCTCCCTCCATTCGGGCCCGTCCTGCTCGATCAGCATCTTCGTGATCCTGAAGGAAGACGAGACGAGCGCAGCAGAATGAGCGTTTTCTCGAACTGCGCTCCCACTGCGGGGGTTCGAGGACTCGACCCCTGATCACWCGGAACCCAGTTTAAAGTTGTTTAGTACGCAGCAAAACAAACACTTTTAATTTATTCTAACCATGAAACCAGAGGCTAACTGAGGTTTTTTCTAAGAAGGTTCTATAGAATAGCTGGAGTGCGCAGAAACCAGGTGACCGTGTGATTAGCTTGTGAAGCTAACGGCTAACACTAAACAGGCAAGAGTCTGGATTTCCCATTACTGTACATGTTGACAACAGAGAAGAAAAAAAAGGACTGACGATATAGAAATCATAAAAAAAACTATTAATAATAAATATTAACTCAATTATTATTAATATTTTACAGTTTATATAATCTATCGAATGTTCAAATGTCAGAAAAGCTGTTTGTGTCATGGATTCATTAACAGAAGATAAACAGGAAAACGTCTCATTTCACAACACAAGTCAGCAG